CCCCTAGTCGGGAACTCCCGACTAGAACCTCTTAGTTTTTATCAATTAACTCAGATAAATATGTCAGCTTGAGCGTTGCCAGATGTATGCAAAACTAGACCTTTTGTACAAACTACAAAACGGTCACACACTTTTATCAACAAAGCTTGGTCGGGGCACTAAAAATCAACAAATCATGATTTTCGACAAATTATCGGGCACTACGCATATAGGAAACAATCTAAAAAATATAATAAATATAATTAAGTTATTTTCTTGGGAAATACTCTTGCTTGTCCCCAAATATTAAATATAAAGAAATTATTTCTGTTTTAAAATATTTTTTTTTACAATTTATTTATTTCTTATGAACATTTCTTTTTTCTGTAATACATAATTTATTTGTTTAGTTAAATATCTTTTTATAAATATATTTAGTAAAATATTTATTTTTTTTAAAAGTATATTTGTTTTTAAATAAAAAAATATATTTTATATTAAAGTATGAACTTGTTTTTTAATATTTATTTGTTATTATATTTAATGTTATATTATATATATGTTTTTTAATTAAGAAAAACAATCTATTTTTCTTACTAACTTTTTCTTATCTGTTAACAAAATATTTAATTTGTTTTATTACTATAATTAATATTCTTATTTAATTATTTACTTTTTAAAAAATTATATATTATTATAATATTATATTTTATCAAAATATTTATTTATTACTATAATAATTAATTTTTATTACAAAATTTATTTTGTTTTAAATATTGATTTTAAACCTTGTGCATTGAAAGTTGATTCGATTTGAGTTTTTTCATTCAGCATACAGATTTGAATCCGCCTCACGCCCAACCATAGATCCCGCAGTCCTTAGCCAGGTAAAGCGCAAGTAGTTGCCAATTTTTGGCAGCAATTGCGAAAACCCGCAACAAATAAAATAGCAAAGAAAATTGCTGCGAATTGAGTTGAATGCATATGAGCTGGGCTCGTAAATGGGCGTGATGGCATGGGCAATGTCCTGGAACAGGTCTCGCAAATTGCGACAATGCGCAAATACAGCTTAGAAAGTCAATTTTTTTATGACTAGCCGCGTAGGCAACCGGAACCAGCGGGCCAGGGGAGGGCCGGGGTACGGCAGAGGAACAGGAAAACCATTTGGAAAATTATGCGCATCATAAAATTTTTGCAGCGTTTTTCCAGTGAACTGTGTTTTTTTTTTCAGGCGAATCATAAAAAAGTGTGCAAGAGTGTATGTGTGTGTGTGTGTGTGTGTGTGTGTGTGTGTGTGTGACAGGATGCATGAGCGGAGCGGGAATTGACAAGGTCGTGTCAACCATAAATATTTACATGTCATAAAAATCAAGGTGAGGCCTCGGTGCAAGGCACATCCTTTTTCCGCAATGCATTTTCCATTGAATGCGCACACGGCTGAACCTTGAAAGTTTATGGATGCACACACACACACACACAACCGCACACCCGCACACACGCACACACAGACAGACAGTCAGACAGGTAGTCGAGCTAGGAGTCAAGACGTTGGCCAAGTCAGTCAACTTGGCCCCGACTGATTTATGAGCTGTTAGCTGACCCGCAAATGCTTTGCAAGTTTTTCATTTGAATTGTATCTTTCGGCAATTGTATCTGTATCTGCGCCCGTGTATCTACAGCCCTGTAGCTGTGACTGTGGCACTTTTTCTGGCCAGCTTGTAAATTATGCCCCTGCACAGCATTGACATTCGGCCCAAGTCAAGTTGTTTCTGTGGGCGTTTTCTGCCCTCAGCTCTACCTGTGTCCAGGTATGCTGTTTGCCTTAGCGGGGCCGTGGGCGTGGCCTAAACGGGCCTTTAACTCTTTGTTGAGCCAATTATGCTGACCACTTCGGCTTAAATGCATGCATTTTGGCCATAGCTGACTTTTTACAATCGATCGGGTTAAGGCAAATGTCCAGGAAATGTCGAGCACAAAAAAAACAAAACACATTTTCGCAGTCGTAGGCTATAAAAACTGAGCCATAAACCCACATTAAACTATGCTAGAGTTACAAAAAAAAAATGAGAACAAGTAAATTCGAAGCAAAAACTCAGCCTAATCACGTTTTGGGTTTTAAGAAATTTGTTTTTAAAAGAAAAACTAATATATAACTCGTCTCTTATAAAGAATCTTTTATAGCTCGAATTGGTTGATCAGAGCTTTATTTTGTATCTATCTCTGCTTTTGTTCCCAGTGGGAATATATATAGGCAATGTTTACTTTAGCCCATATATTATTTCTAGTAAAGAATTAATATAATGTATATATATGCTTATTATTATTATTATTATTATTATTTGATGATACTTCTTTATAGTTATGAATTTTATATATATATTTATTGATCGAAAGCAATAACCCATTATCTATATAGCCATGCTTAATGTCTCCCTTATATTTTCTTTTTAGTAAACAATTATTGTAATTTATTTGCTTAAATAAGTTCGGGTTGACTTTTCGGCTCGCAGAAAAGAAAAATGTAAATTTATGCGGCAAGGTCGTGATTGCAGCAACATTTTTAGTCGGCGCTCTTTAATTAATCGTTAATTATGCTCATGCAACAAGCGCGCTAGCCACGCACCCTTACTCCCCCCCTTGGTCCCTCTCAACCCCACAACCACCACCCCCCACCCACCCGCTGGCGCTCAACCCCTCGCCTGCTGGGTCTAGTACATGTACACAGAAGCGTTAATTAAATTTCTGCATGGCTTGCGAGTTGGTCTTTGGGCTGGCAACTTGTTTGGGGCGCCAAATGCAGCGAACGGGGCAGTAAATAAATACTCATTTAATTTATGGTTTTAATTTTTATGGCTACAACTTTGGGGCCATCATCAGGAGCAGCAGCAGCAGCAGGAGCCAGAGGCAGGGGTGGAGCCAGAAAGTCAGACAATTTAGTAGTTTGGCGAAGCGTGGATGGAAATTTAATAACTTTGTTTATGCGCACACTAAATCATAACTAATGAGCGCGACTTTGGGCCCCAAAGTGGCCACTGGGCCTGGCTAAAATGCTTGAAAGGAATTGCAACAGCTGCAGCTGCAAAAAGCTAAGCTCAGCGACAGCCAAAACTATTTGTGGCAGAAAAATAACTTGCCCTGAAGTGTAACAACAAAATTGATGCCAAGCATTTTGGACTTAAAATTGAGTCAACGAATGGAATGTTTACTTTATTTTTGTGGAATATATAGGCCTAAATGGTATTAAAGTAGACAAGTAAGAGGTTCTAGTCGGGAGCTCCCAACTAGGGAATACCCTGAACCCTCTTACTCAAACATCAAATATAGATCGCGCAACGCGCTCGTTTGAAGGTATAACGATTCATTTAAAGAAAAAGTTCCCTTAGGGTTCGAATCGCAACTGACCGCATTACTTGCTTCCGACTCTACTCAACAACCACGCCAATAATTGGGTCTTATTGAGAAAAAAACGAATTGAAATAGTAGTACAGGAAACAATCGCAATTGCAATGCTGTCAATAGAATGCGAAACAGACGCGCATGTGTGTACGTGTATACAGAAATCCTTGGAATTTGCGCTAGCTGCTGCAAACACGTGGGCAGCAAAAACACAATTTATTTTGTGTATTTCTTAACCGATCTTTATAAAATTTTCTACAGTATGGCGATAGGTATAAAATGAAAGGTACTTGACATATATATAATATTGTAAAGCAACATATCAAGTTTGGTGACTCTAGCTCTTAATATCTACCCAATTTACTCAAAAAAACAGGATTTCAATATCGATTTTTATCGATTGCTTGGAAACGGAGTAAGTTATCGACTATCGGAAACAAAATCGATCTGCGCAGGCAGTAGGAGGACCTACAGCTAAAATTTCAATTTCAGGCTGTAAATGAGCTGACAGGAAAAATTTCAATAAAATGAGCAGTGGGAGAAAGAGAAAACTAGAGAGATCGAGATAGAGACCAATATCATTTTCATGTTAATTTTGAGCTAAAAAGTTCTCGAATGTTGTGAAATTAAATAGATGTGCCTTGCAAAAATGGTTCTAATATTTAACTGTGTAATTTACGTCAGAGCCAAGTCCAGAGGCAACAACTGTTACAGCGACGGAGACAAAGGCCTCAGCAGAACCTGAGCCGAACAATGGACAAGCCACTAATTTGAGTTGAACACCTACAAGGACATGGAAATGGAAAAAGAAATGGAAATGGACACGGACCTGGTCATGGACACGGCAACTCCAGATAGCACTCTAGTTGAGAACCCGAAAAGAGACCACCAACTGTTCGGCCTGTAGGCAAATTGCAGTCGCGCCGCGGGTGCACAAAAACCCAGGAAGCAACTGAAAAGCCAGACCAGATCCTAAGCATCAAGCCAAGATAACCAACACACAAACCCAAATGCTGTACAAATTGTCCCGCTCATTTCAATTTACAGATAACTTTGACATTTGCCAAACACACACCCACGCAGAACATCATTTCAAACAGTTGATTGTCCTTGTTGACAGCCAAAGGTGGTCAGGGATAAGATTAAATTAATGCTAGCTAAAGTTGACCAGAAGATGCGCTATAAAAATATAATCGGGCAATCTATAAATAAATACTCACAACTACATAGAAAAATCCATTTGATAACTTTTAAATATTAAAGTAATTATAAATAATAAAGGGAATTCCACGAGTAATTAAAACATAAAATAATGTATTTGGTTACTTATTCGAATTTATCTGCTAATTTTCAATTACTTAAAAATCCCAACTGAATTAATTTCGACTACTATTTAAAATATTATTATTGTAAATTGTTATTGGTAATTAATAAGAATGTTAATTATTTATTTGTATTATTCTATTTTCTGATACTTCAATTACCCAACAAACTCAATTAAATTACTTTCACTTATAGTTTAATTACTTATGTAATTTCCTTAGTAATTAATGCTATACATTAATTTATATTTAAATTCAGCCATTTTTAGCTACATTTCAATTACTTAAAATACTCAATTTCAATTAGTTTTAAGTATAGTTTAATTACCAAAGTAAATCAAAAAATTTTAATTTGCTTAGTAAATATAGCTAAGAGTGTACATTATTTTGTTTATATCCATTCCATCATTTTTCAATTACTTTTAACTATTGTTTCATTACTAAAGTAATTACAAATTACAGTTGGTAATTACTTTAGCAGTTAAAGATAAACATGTAAATTATTTGAATTATATGAGGCTATTTCCTGTTTTTTTTTTTTCAAATTTGTTTAGTTGCACATACTCCACTTCGGCACGCTGAACAAGCACAGGGTATTTTTATGATTTTCTGGCAATTGACAGCCAATCAATTGACTACGACAATTTCTGTTGGGCTCTCACATTTTTATTTCCGGCGGAAAAGTTGCCTCAAAACTTTCAAGTTCTATCTGATTTCATATCGATATACGATATCGTATCATAAGAGAACAAATCTGAATGGTTCTCTCTCTCTCGTGTCGGCACCACAGACAAAGCTATCTTCAAATGGGCATCTATCTGGGAAGAAAAACAAAGTAAAAACTGTGCCATAAAATTATGCTGGAAAAATGTTTTGGGCACAGCCCACGAAAGACAAAAATGTCAAAGTGGAAAATGACTCGAAAACAGTGGAAGAAGAAGAAAAATACAAATAAAATTAGAATATATGAAAAATTAACATATTAAAGAGGCAGAGCCAAGAATAGGCACAGTCCATGATAAATGTTATGCTCGATTAATAATTGTTAACTAAGCCAGCAGATAAAGATCCAGGTAAAAAGGAACACAGAATTTATCATAATGGCTCGAGTTGGCGTCTGCGTCGCTTGGGCTAATAAAATTGTTAGACAGATAAACGATATGACGATATAACGATATAACAATATAACGATATGATGATATTTTCTTGCCTCGAGACATAATTTGTAATCAATAAAATGAAATTAAATTCATCGACTGATGCGCGCTTTGAGATAGCGGCCAAAGAAGGCACCGCCAGAAACCCAAGAACCCTTCGCGAGAGCTGAGGGAAAAAAAAAAAACACAAACCAAATGCAGCCCGGCCAAAAACCCAGAACCCAACCACAAACGGCGGCAAGTGTAAACACGTGAAATTGTTGACAACATTTCGAGTCAAGTCCGAGGCAGGGACAACTTCTATAAAGGTCTGTCTCTCGGGGCGTTTATCCTGCGGCACACACAGTGGGAGGTTGTATGCCGTCTGCCTGACTGCCCGACTGCCTCGCAAATCTCAGCTAATTAAGTTTTAACGGCACTTGCTAAATATGCGAGACCTGTATCTCTACCTCTCGCTCTCTCCTGTCAGGCTTAGGGCCATTCTGTGCATTGTTTTTACTGGGCGTGTGCGAAAATTGGGAAAAACGGTTTGCTTGTTTGATTTTAAAATGGGATTAAATTGATTTCCCGCTACTCGACAACACTCTGTTCAGGTAGTTTTACCTGTAAATATACACTCCTGCTCTCTGATGAGCTCAGCAATTTCTGTTTTGGCAGCTGCCCAAGATTGTTGGCAGGTTGCGTGAACGCCTCCTCAAATTGAAATGTTTCATCTAATGATTGTCTTGTTATAAGGAAAAACTGTTGGGCATCACTTAAAAGAAGAGTGTTCTTTAAGTTTTAGTTAAAATATATGTGTGAAATGTACTTGAAGTTGGAAAAACGAGGCTCTAACAAGATAAGACTGGAACTGCGAATCATGCTATCCCTTATCTATAACTGACTGAATCTATATATTATATATATATGGAGAATAATTGCGAGTTGTTACATTTTCTATTTATCTTGCGTTTCATTGACTCGGTCAAGTGCTTGACAACACTGGAACCAGAGTTGCCAGGCATGCCACTTGAGCGGAAAGTGTTGAAAAAGTCAAAAAGCCAAACGCTTGTCGGCCACTTAGCGACTAAAAGGAGTAAAGCCATACAGAAAAGCCTAACGACTTCCACTTGAACACTTTTCAATGAAAATCTCGAACGGAAGGCTTTCGAAATGTGCAACGAATCCGTCAAGGAATTGCGCATTTGCAACTGAAAAGCTGTGCCTGGCCATTTCGGCAAGTCGGGCCTATAATTACGAGACTAACGGCAGGACAAAAAAGGAGAATGACTGTAAGCAAGGCAGGAAGTTGTCAAATGCCAACGAAACAGGCAAGCATATACCCTACACACACGCCCAGTTTGGAGCGTGAGAAACTTTCTGGCTGCGCGGGCTGCTGTGTTTTGTTGCGTTTTCTGGCGGGCTTTTGCCCCGAACATAAGTCACAAGAAGTCAGCAAAAGGCACCGCAAATAATTACACACCTCGTCTCAACTCGGCCTGGTAGTACGCCTCCCCCTGGCAGCAGTAGGAGTTTTAGATGCGGGCCTCGTAAAGTCGGCGCCCATTTACGCGCTTGCAGCCAATTGTCCAACTTCCGGCAGTATCCGATTTCGAAGTCAAGTAAATGTCAGCATCTTGACTTGCACTACCCAAACCCAAGGCTCGTATCCTGCACACCCTTGCTCCTTGGCCGTGCCGGGCAATGATCGTAATTGTTCAGTCAGTCGACACGCCCAGCCCAAGGGGGAGGCAGGGCAGGGCTGGGCAGGGCTGGGCTAGGCGTTGTCGCTACCATTGTTGTGCATATCCTTAGATCGTCGTACTACAATCGCAGCCTTGTTCTTTGCTCAGCTCTTTGCACTAATGAGGGTCCTTCGGTGAAGTCCTTCTGCCATTGACACATTTTGCTCCGCTTTCCTTTTGTGTTGTTTTTGTCAAATATTTTTGTCGTAACTCGAGGCAAATCTTGAGCCTCTTTCAAAGCGCATAAATATTTATGCAATGAAGTAAAAATTTTAAAGTTCGTGAGCGTCAGGCAGGGTTCGCATACAATCAATGATTTTTACATTTTGTTTGCGGGCCGATAACAAGTCGCAATTGTTCTGCATTAGGCTTTGAACCTTCAGCTTGCTTTAACTTTCCTTGAGTGGATTCGAGTTTCATGAGTTTCATTTCGTACTTTTCCGCCTTGAACACAGTGTCTAAAGTTTTTCTGTTTCGGGTAACCATGAAGTGCTTTGAATATATCCAAAATGAATTTAGTGAGTTGAGATTCGTTTCAATCTGAAACTTGTACGAATTGTTTCATTCCGATCATTTCAGTGAAAACAGAAACCGGAAAATTATTGTTCAGGCCCGATTAAGGTATTTTCTTTAGTTGTTCATATCTAGGCATATATATATAAATAGGTATATGTATATAGGTAAAGAGTACATCTATATACATCTATCCATATCCTATCTAGAGACTCGAAATCTAACCAAGTTTATTTAAAAAACATCGATAACTCGCAGTATTCTTACAAAATCGATATAAATCGATTGCGACCTCCTGGTATTTTGATCACATCTCGGAACTATAAGGAAGATAAGGACATCAAATTTACTATGTAGCCAAATACAAAATATTTTACAGCATGCATTTCTATCCCCGTTCCAACCAAGCTTAACATTTTTCGAGACAGCTTTGGTATTTGCATTTGAATGCCATATTTTTGCCTCAAAAGGCTCCATAAGTATTTGTATACTTGCTCAGTATCAACAGCTTAGTCGATGTACGTACATTCATATCTGCTGCTTAGTCCATTTCCTATTCCCATTTTCATAGATTTGTGCTGCAGTAGTTCGTGCCTTTCCAGTTTCCTTCCAGTCCAAATTCAATTGGAAATTTCTGTTTCTTAATTAACTATGATTAATTCAGAATTACTGACTAATTGAGTTCCTACAATTTAACAAATTTGCCGCGGCACGAAAAACAAGCGCCGCAAAACCGAACACCAATGATCCTGTCTGGATGCTCCGCAGGATATCCTTGTCACTTAATTGTGCGACACTTTATTGGATTTTAAAAAGAGGACAGTAAATGTAGAAGCGGTGGAGGGGGAGGGGGGGGGGAGATGAAACCCGTTGCCAATGCCCGCATGCACATTGATATCCTGCAAACGGGGGGTAATTAAATTTGCCGAGGAGCAAACACGCCCAGGCCCGATGACGCACTGGTTGAGCGAGGAACGTGGCGTGGGGCAAATGGATTTGATTGAATTAAGGCGCTTGGCAAAAAAGGCAGCTTAAATGCCGCCAATGATGCTGCTGCTGCCTGACGCCAGGATATACGCCGGCTGCGGGGCGTCCTGCAAGGACCAAACGATGCGCGAACAGCGCGAACCAATTGCGTTGTGGGGCACAGCCGATGCCTCCAACTGGCTTGCTCCGCTCTCACTCTCACTCTCTCTGTCTGTCTCTCTCCGTGTGTGTTTGTTCGTCCTTATGCTGTTTTTGTACTTTTTGATGTTGCCTGCCTGGCCGCCTGCTGCTCCCCTGCGGCGGCTTCTCTCAAATTTTGGGGGTGTATCAATTTCAATTCATTGCCATTTGCCATTCGGGGGTGGATTTTCGATATATAAATTGTTGTTTCAAGCTGTTGTTGCTGTTCACACTTAAGTGGGTGGCCTTTGTATCATAAAGGGGGGAGGGGGAGGGGGAGGGGGTTCGCTTCCTGTAACAGAAACAATAAAAATCCATCGGCCTGCCATATGCTTGACACTAATAGCATTTGGCCTGGCCTCCGCCCACTTTAGCCACTTTTGCCACTTTATTTGCGGCTGCGACAATTTAATTGTATTAAGTAGGCTGTAATACGCAGCATCATCATATGATTTTATTATTAATTTATGGGCCTTCAACATTTTTTATGACGATTACATTTAATTGAATTCTCTGGCCCACTAATCGATGTATTATTTATGGGAAAGTTTTGGGACATAATGGGCATTTAGAAATTTATTTGTCACAAGAAATAATACAATCGAATAACTGCCAAATCGCTTAAACATGAAGGTAAAGGTTCGAAACCCAGCAAAAACTAAAAAAGAGAAAATGCCAAACAATAAACAAATAATTGTTTTGCAGAAATTTATTAGATATATTTCGATTTCTACCAATTGCTTCTATGGTACCTATATGATATTGATGGGATTTTGCTTATATATATTGGTAAAAAGAACTAGACTATTTATTGAAGATGTTTCGACCAACTATTTCTACAGGCAGCTATACAAAACTGTAATCCGATTTTATATAAGAATTACGTTTTTGACCAATTGTTCCAACAGGCAACTAAATGATATAGAAATACGAAAGTCCGATCTATGCCTAGAATTATTATTACCTAGGAAGTCAGATATGACCGCGAAATGCGTTGCATATTTTCTAACACATTCTAACACACAAGATTTAAGAGAGTCTTTCTTATAACATGATATATATACAATATAATATATATCTATTAACTTACGGTATTACATATAGAATATATCTTGTAACGTTGTGATATTTCACGCTTGCTCTCTGATTTATTGCGCAACTCTTGGAAAATATTTTGACTGGATCATCTATTACTTTAGCCACATTATAGCTCTGCTGCCCACATTTAACACTGACAATGCGCAGACTTAACGATTACAAATTGGTAAATAAAAAATAAACAAAACAATTACAACAAAAATTAAACGACGTAACGCCCCGCACATACAATAAAAAAACTGAGGGAAGAGAATTCAATAAAAACTCAAACCTTAAACGAAAAACAGGTGTTTTTCAATTCACACAATTCCTGATAAATACGCTCGAAGGTTGAGTAACAAAAACAAACATATTTCAAATATATATGTGCAGCAAGCACGAGTCCCGGTCCCGAGTGCCTCGACTGATGTCTGTTAATTAATTTGGCCAAAAAGGGCAGCAGCAGCAGCAGCCGGAGCTTGAGTCTTGGCCAGGTGAAGGATCATGGTGCTGTCCGTCTTTGTTAAATATGGCAGGCAATATTTTAAACTTAATTAATCAAGCGTGCGATCCGCCTGCTCACGCGTTCCCCTCTCCCACTCTCACGCATGATTGATGTGCCCAGTTAAAGCCAAGTCCATCTTTAGGCCATAATTGGCAGCGTTTAACGGGGCGGACAGACGGCGTGCGTTTAGTAGCTTTATTAGGCCCAAAGAGCAAGCGGCTCTCGCTATCAACTGGTAGCTCGCTCTTATCGCACCCTCACGAAAAGGGCCCTGAGCCGAATGCTGACAAGATAAGGCGACAAATTGGCTCGAATGCGGTTCCGGTTGCTCGTCCCGACCCGGGAGAAACGGGCGCGCATGCGCCCGTACGTGTCGTGTACGCTTGTTTGTAATGT